CAGAAGTGGTATTTTGTAGCGTCAAAGATCATTTCTCAGACTTCAAACACAACCTTCAGGAAAAAAATTCATGACATTTCAGAAATTATCCTGTTTCCAAAGCCTTGAAAATAGGAGTATGGGATACAAAGCTTGTCAAAAGATATGCAGACTATACACCCAATTCATTAAGCCATTCAGCTAATAAAATGAAGACATCTGTTATGCACTATAAATAACAATGCGGTATATTGGGGAATTATATGATTAGCACCACCACAATTTTTCTTTATTAGTTCAACTTAATACCGTAAGCCGCGGAGAGGCTGCAACCAGTCTATTTAGTATAAGTTTTAAATCTAATATTCTTAGATAGTTTTGAGACTGTAGTTCTCATGGCAGGGGCTGAAGGCTAGGGTAACTTTTTAAAACAAGGGTAATATACATTTTGAAGTCAAGCAATTCTTCAACAATTGAGCTGGCGTGACTAATATGCAGCCCAGCAGATGAATCTTTCTCAACCTTGGCAGCTTTAAGATGCATGGAGTTCACATCTTAAAGCTGCCAAGGTTGGGAACTACTGTAGTAGACAATTTAGAAAAAGAAATGCATTTAATACAGATCTTGATAGCCTGGAAGTTGGTTACTGCAACTATTAGCTTTCATCAGAACGTAACTATATAATTTGACAGCATCTGCAGAGGACATTAAAACCAGGAGAAATATTAACACCGCTGCTCTTTGAGAACTGAGCTGTAAAGTCTTTCTCCCATTATAACAACCATAAAATCTGGATTTTATGGATCTTACAGCTATAATACAACCAATATTATGTAGTCATTACTTGTAAATTAGGTAATGTACCTCCAGCTTAGCTTTTTCTTCCAGGAGATTTTTTTTTTAAATATAAAATGTTAACTATCAATAACATGATAATGAATGATGCCATTCACTGCAATTGCGAGTTTGATGGTGATAGGATCTTCTGAAAGCACTAAATCAAATTCCAGGTATCTCCAATTAAAATAATCAAGAAACAGGAAATGGGCATGGCCAATAACATGACCTAACCCAAGATAAATCAAAACAGACAATATGGGGCCAGTTGTATCAATGGCTTAATGGTGTTGGAAGAAATATCCTTCTGGGTTCAGTTCCAAGTGGGGGGAAAAGACACTGGAAACATGGAGGCTGCTTGGAAAGACGTTTTAATGGTAGACAGGATCACGACTTGAGTTCCTGAACAGAAAAGGGGGGTCACAGCAGTGATGGGTTGCAGGCGGTACGCCCCGGTATCAGTATACCGGAGCCTGCCCGGAGCACCAGATACCGCTCCGGTACAGTGGTCCGTAGGGCCCACCCACCCGCGCGATCTCACCTGTCTTTTAAGGCTTCCACGCATGGCGTGTACAGCACCTGCACGGCACTCCGCTGAGCAGCTGGAGTGTCGCGTAGGCTCACATAGGTGGTAAGATGCATGTGTGCTGTGCACCCATGTGCGCGTGCACTGCACGTGTCCATATGGATGCCGGCGGGCCCGTTCCAACTGATACAGTTGGAACGGGATCCGGAACCCACCACTGGATCACATGCTTCCAGATGTTGGATGGAGAAGAAAAGAGATCGAGATGCTGAAAGTCCCTGGTTTTATGCCCTCTTGGCTTTGATCTTGATCATGTATTCTGATTGGTTATCAGACTCCCATGGGGCCATGCAGGAGCAACTCTCTAGGCTGTGTTTTGAGTCCAAGTTTGGTTGAGCATTGCTTCTTCCCAGGTGCCCTATGGTGAGATGGGTAAAGGGCTAATAGTATCATGCCTTAATCCCATCACCCTGGAGCTGAATGGGGAGATCTTTGTGATGTAGAATAGACTGGCTCAGGCCTTTTAATGGCCCATTGACAAAGGTGAGGGCTATTAAGAGTGAGTCTGCTTCCTGCCTAAAACGTGTTTCTCCAGGGAAATACAATATTCTGCTTTTTCAATATTTCGCAAGATATTTCATTTTTCTAAGAGAGGAGTGGGTTTTAATTTCCTACAATGGTTAACCAGACACAAGGCAAATCCTTGTATTATATTACACAAAATTGAGGGGGGGGGGAGGAAGGAAAGGACGGAACGGAAGGGAGAGAGGGAGGGAGGGAGGGAGAAAGAGAGAGAAAAAGACTGAAAGACAAAGAAAGAGAGACGGGGGAGGGAGGGGGGACTGAGGGGGGGGAGATATGAATGCCTTCCTTTATGTCCCGACTAGGACCTGAACTAAATTAATCTTTTTTTATTTATTCTGGTCCAAAACCACAATAGCAACTCAACATTTAACAACCAGTGATGATGACAATCTTCTCATTCTCTGACATTTATTTTTGGAAAGTAAAAAATAATAATACTATGTGTAATTTTGAAAGCTTCAATGCCGTTTTAATTAGAGAATTGTAACTCTGGTTCATTTTCCATTTTTTTGAACTGGTGAAGAAGCAAAGTCTGCTTTAGATCTAATAGTATGAACCAGTTCCCTTGGAGAATTCTTAATTGTGATTATTTCTCACAAGTTATATTGGCTTTGAAATATAGATCTAAATTGTCTCAACATGAGTGGAAGGCAAATTACAATCCCCTTTTGAATAAAGGGTCAGATTAATAGTAGGAGGGGTACAGTAAGAAGCATATGTGCTGAAAGCCTGCTGTGGAGTTTGTGAAGATTCAAGAGCATAAGACACCCCACTCCCCCCCCCCCCGTCCTTCAGATCCAGCGCACAGCAACACAGCGACATCTAGTGTTTCTGTGTATGGAAAGGCTACGTCTCAGGAAAGAAAAAAAAACAGTGCAAATGTGTCTTCATTTGAGAAATGGCATAAAGAAAACAATGAAGAGGCAGTGTTCAAATTAATTAATCCTTATTAAATAAAATTAAACCACGTAACAACTGACATAGAAAGCAACACAATAGTCAAAATAAAGTAATCAATCATTAATAACCACAATAAACTCTTGGTACAGTCAGAACAGCTCCTCCAAACAGGTCCAACTACATTCAAAGATCCGACCTCTCATGGTTGAGAGAATGTTCTGTAGAGCAGTGGTCTCCAACCTTGGCAACTTTAAGACCTGTGGACTTCAACTCCCAGAGTTCCTCAGCCAGCAAAGCTGCTGTAGAGCATACAGTAGTCAGCAGGCAATAGGACTCCGGATTTAGGGTAGTTGTCCATGAATGATTTTCATTTCTTGGAGACAACAGAAATAAATGCCATATTAATCTGACCCCAGGAACTCATAGCTAATCCAAGGACATTCTACTAAATTGCCTGTCCACTTTGTCTACTTCTTTCTTCTATTTCCCTGGTTTGCAACCCTAATCATGCAAAAGATAATCCCCGGCCTTTCCAGAAGAAATCAGAAAGGTATTAACTGGACATTTCTTTCAACTTTTGTAATATGTGTTTTTATGTTGTATGCCGCCCTGAGTCCTTTGGGAGAAGGGCGGCATATAAATCCAATAAACCTAACCTAATCTAACATGCCGAGGTGGCACAGTGGTTAGAGTGCAGAACTGCAGCCACTTCACCTGACTGTTAGCTGCAGCCTGGCTCAGGGTTGACTCAGCCTTCCATCCTTCCAAGGTGGGTAAAATGAGGACCCAGACTGTGGGGGCAATATGCTGACTCTGTAAACCGCTTAGAGAGTGCTGAAAGCCCTATGAAGCGGTATATAAGTCTAACTGCTATTGCTATGCCACTCAGATGAGGGAAAAGCTAGGCAAAATTAGCCATGATGTCTGGGAATTCTGGGAGTTGAACCTCCGAGTGGATCAGTTTCAGTAAAGGTAGATAACATGGCCTACTAGCAGGATGAGCTACTACACAGACGCTGACTTCCTATGTGTGCCTAACTGTGCAAAAGATAACAAGCTGATTGAACCATGAATCATCTTTCATGTTCTCTCTTGCATTTTCACCATTAATAAAATGCTAACTGGGACGTTGTGGGAATTCTGCACGCTTCCCTTCCATTAATACGGGGAAAGCAGAGGTGTTTGTGGGGGTAAGCCTACATTCTCAGAAAGGGCATTGATGATTTTGAGCATCGTTCACCCGCGCCACTGCCTAAAATTTTCCACATCGGCTCCTGGCGCGCGTGAAAAGCCACGCATCTGCTACCACATCCGCTCCCCACGTGCAGATCGTCCGTCGTCCTTGGCAAAATCCGTGTTTACTGCACGGTCCCCTTCTATTTCGCGGAACTGACAAACTCCCCAATCGGAAAATGTGTACATGAAAGAAAAAAGGCACGTCATCCCCACTGCGGTATGGATCGATGCGCGCATTTGCGTAATCGTAACTGTAAGAAGCGCAGAGCCCGCGGGGGTGAAAACATGGCAAAAGTGGGAGAAAGGAGATGCGCAAAGCGAGGAAGTTGCAAAGCCCCTTTCCCGCCAGAGTTGCTTTTGAACCTCTTGCTGGCCGAGATTATGTTGACGTCCGTTGCACGGTCACTTGTTACGCCCCGTTGGAAACGTCTGGATGTAACAAGCCCGCCCTGGTTCCTTGAATTCCAAGCTCCGCGTCAAGAAAAGTGTACGCGGCCTTGGCGGGGCGGCGGGGAGGGTCACCCGGCTGCCGGAGTACTTGTTAAAGAGGCGGCGCGTCTGAGAGCCTGTTGCACGCAGGGTGCGCTCCCGCTGTCGCCGCGGCACGTGTGAGCGGGGAGGGTTCTGCCCGCGACCGTGGCGTGTGCGGGGCGCGTCCTCCTTTCTTCGACGGCCGTTCCGCCTGCCTCGCCTGTCGGGCGTGAGAGCCGAGCTCAGGCCCCGGTGCCAGCTCCGGTCTTCCCCGGCTGCCTGAGCCTCGGTTACCATGAGCGCGCGCTCTCCGCGTCCAGGGCAGCAGCAAGGCAGGTCCCGCGGGCGGAGCCCCGTCGCCGAGACCCACTTCTGCGCTCTCGGGCGCGGTGCTACTTCTGCCGGGTTCGCGCGCGATCCCTCGCCGTCTGCCCGGCGCTTTTCTTCTTCACCTGCTGCTGCTCCCAGTCCGGAGACCCGGAGCTGCTGCTGCTAACGGCGGCAAGTAAGTATGCGCGGTCTGTGCCCCTCTTCCTCCTCTTTCTGCGCTCCTCTTCCCTTCCAGAGTCGATCTCCTGTACTTAGCTGTCCAGCCGAAACTTGCCGGACAAGTTGCGGGCGAAACTTTCTGCAGCGCCCCGAAACGAGACACCCCACTTCCAGAAAGAATGAAACTGAGCGCCTCCGGTGATTTCATGCAGATACCGCCATAACGGCTTCCTTGTCTGGTTCTGGAGAAGGGGAAAGATTAAAGGATTGATGCGCGTGGGGCTTCCCTTCTTCCTTCTTTCTCTCCCCCCCCCCCCAAAAAAAAAGTATTGCATCCTTTTGAACTTTGGTTTTGCCTACGCCAAGTTTTCCACTTTCGGGATTGTCGTGTTTTTCATCCGTGTTTTGGAACCGGGGAGCTAAAAGGAAAAGGGTCTGGATCTAATTCGGATTCACGGATAAGAGCGTGTTATTGCAACAATGGTTTCTTTGCTCAGTGCACCATTTCTACTTAATTCGAGCCTGGGAGCTTGGAGAAACCTCTGGTGCGTATATGGGTGTCTGTCTGTGCATTTATTCCTGTTATTTCCCTAACACGTCCAGTTCTCTCTTCCCGGTCCCTCTTTGGGGCAGTTTCATTTTCAAATACCTTTTTCCTTTCCGTGCTTATTGGGGGGGGAGGGGGGGGGGAATCTGGGTCTGTTGATTCCAGACTACAGTAAATGCCACTTCCTAGTGAGGTGTCTGGAACTGTAGCTTTCATTTTGCAGGATTTCCCCCCTTCTCGTTTTCATTTCCATCTGTGACATAGCCATTGCCCTAATGTAAGAACCCAATAAATTACTAGATGGTTGTTTGGGCTAACTCGAACATGAGAAGGTTTGGTTGCACGGAGTAGTATTTTACATTGTCTTGTATTCTGAATGTGGAAAGTTCATTTTTGTGGGATCCTAGCTCTCCTGATAAATCAAAGCAGCTAAAACATATTTGTTTTGTTAAAATATGTTCAAATGGTAGCATAATTTATTTCATTTTCAGGCTGTGGTTTGTTCTGGACAGTTATCAGTGCTTACCCCTACTTTTTTTCCTTATATGCCTGGTTCTCTCAGTTTGAACTGTGGGATAGGGATAAGTTAAGTTTTCACTATAATAACCCCTGATTAGCAGTTCTAAGAAGGAAATGTTTTTATTATTACTTTCATTTATTCTGAATGAGTTTCTTTCTGCTTACTGACTTCATCAGGAATGCATTCCAATTACTTGTCCTTTGCAGCATTTTCTGTTGCAGTCTCCTTGATTTTCCCCATGGCTGTAATGCATCTGAAACCTGTTTACTCAGAATATTATGGATTGCTCCTTTATCACTATTTCATTTTCTCTCAGCATAGGTAGAATTAATTGTGAATAGATTTGTTTTATTTGCACAGTTCTGCTCTAGAAAGAGCAAGTTAACTTTTCAGTAGTTAGGGCCTGAGGTTAGTTATTGTTTTTTTCTTTTAAATAGAAGGCTAAGCTAAAACATTGAGGTAGTATTGAATTTCTGGATTGCTTTTCCCAGAGTCCTTGGGATAAAATTGGACAACTTAATAGCTGCAAATTAGACCATTAAGCAAAATTCTTGTCTGATGCTGGTGAAAACTCAAGGTATGCCACTGCTGTCATTTTTGCTACAGCTTCCATAACTCACTTTTATCAGCGCAGAGCTAAACTTTAACATTATATGGGTTTTAAAGCTAGCAGATCAGAATTTGGAAAGTATTTTGAATGACAGATACATAATATCTCTCTAGCTGGTTTTTAAGGCTTTTTATCTCACAATCCCTTCTCTATGTGTTGGATTTGACTTCTCACTATCCCTACAGAGATAGTCATTGGAGAAAGCTCGTCAAAGAAGTGCTATCTTTGTTTATGCAGTGGAGATAAATCTTTTGAAATGTTGAGCTTTTTTGCTTCACTTTATTGCTATAAAGTAGATTAGGGGGAAAAATACTGGATCAGCAATAATGATTAATCTAGTACTTGTTTCCAATAGCTACTCAGTGCCTTCCACTCTTCTGATCACAACCGATATCCAGAGATTCTGGCCTGTGGAAGTTGTATAAGGGCATCACAACTTTCAGCTGTCAGCAGCTATTTCTTCCATAAAAAACGACAAGTACTTTTAATTTCTCATGGTAATGTCTTTTTGGAAAGGCCATTCATTACGTTGGGACATGAGCACATTTTACTATAGGGAGGGATAATAAATGGCAGTTAAGCTTCCCCAGCCCTCAGTAGCCTGCTCAGACTTTCATGGTTTATAGCATTTTATAGCACATTATCATTTTCATCCAAGAAACAGCTCTGCAGTTGCCTGCAACACAAAATGGTAGCAAGTTCTTTTCACAGGATCACTGATTACATCAGAGATGCATTGCAGAAATCAGAATTGCTGCAGAGGAAATTTGCAAAGGGTGGTGGTGGAGAGAAACAACCCAAAGTGGCATTTTAACACTGAAGTTGCTGCTTCTGTTCCCTCCTTTGACAAGGACAAAAAATCTCTGTTCCATTTAGCTTGACAAGGTCTTCCTACCTCCGGCAGAGAGAGAACTAATCATACAGCTTCCTAAATTTGATTTTGTGAATATAGTGAGGGTGGGGCTTTTTTTCCATTTATTACCCAGAATGAGTTCAGTTGCTTAGGAGATATTTTGCCCAATTCTATGCATACTTAACTGAAAAGGTAATTCTGTTGGATGGGATTTAACTTAATTTGATGTATATTGGATTTTATCCTATATATTTTTCAACTTTATGGTTTTAATAGGGTCTCTGAATGTCACCCGTTCTTTTGCATACATAACGACAGAAAAATGTTACAGCGCGGAATGGAACATGAGCATCATTCAGTAGTAGTTTTTTCCCAAAATCACAAATAGTTATTGAACATCAACTTTTCTTAAATTGGCATCCTGCGGCTGGTCTGGGCTGTAGTTCTAGTCTTCTGGATATCATGGCTAAAGAAAAGAGTATTTGGGATCCAGCCCAGTTAGAAGGTGCCAGATTAAGAGAAAGCTCCCATACATTATAGCTGGGGTTTGCAAAAGATGTTTAAATGAATTAATAAACAGACATATTTCCTGGACTTGCATAATACATGGTTTCCCAGCAAGCAAAGGGGCTATGATATCCCAACACGTTAATACCCCAAGAAAGTAATCAAATTTATCAGGCACAGTAAATACAGCCATTAGGTCTTAAATATAGTTTGTGAACCTGATCAATCTATATCATATTGCTCTTATAAACATCTTCTGCAAGCTGCTGGACAGAGGCTGCAGAATGTGAAGCACATTTTTTACTTATTTATTTCTCAGCAGGATAGCACAGAAATTGTCTATTTTTACAAAGCTCTGTCCAGTCTAAGCACATAATATTTACAAGCTGACCTAGAAGTTATCCCTTTTTCCTTGAAGCCTGCAAAGATCCTTTCCTTATCTGACTGTTTCATTCCACAAAGCTCCTTTTGTCAGATAAGAGTCATGGTGAACCCAGAAAAACCTTCACTTCAACAAGGTGGCAAAGATTAGAAGCTAAATGTTGGTGTTCGTTTGTCACGGATGGGCGGTTCTTCCTATGTAATTTGATCGAGAATCGTATAGAGATCAGAAAATCAATGTCCTGGAGAACTTTTGTTCATTCCCTCATGAAAGTAAAAGCCAGTAATGCAAATATGTGGAGAGAGATCCTGGCAACTCTTCCTCCAGATGGTGTCAAGGGAAACTCCAGCCATCCTTTTTCACACATAAATATATTTCCTTCTGGCTAAATATGGATGAGTACTCCCAACCAGCATGAAAGAAATTGACCATTTCACAATTCTGTTATTCATCATATGAAGGGAGTAATGACTTAGTAAATATGGCTTAATATTAAAGCTAATCTAGGATAGGGACTCCAGCAAACCACACCTGGCTATGGTCTGCCAATGTCCCTTATTTTGGCTAGTGTTTCAGAAACATTTGTATTTACTGGCCAGCATTTCTCCATCCCCAAATGTCCATGCTCCAGAAGATTGGTTGATCTATATCATCACCTTGTTCCTGCATAAGTTTGGAGCTAAATCATCAGGCAGAAGGTGGTAGAAGGCTGACTTTTGTCTCTAGTTTTTCTCTTTCTTTGTTTTCAAAGTGAAGATCTGGTGCACCTTAAGAAATTAAAAATGAACAGGAAGCAGTAAAACAGCTATCCAATGGTTCCTGGATCATGCATCTTTTTTCTTGAAGGAATAAAGCCTGCTGTGTGCACTATGTAGACCGAGCCATGTTGTTCACATCATATTGTAATATATCTAAAAGACATTGTTGTTTCCTAGAAAAGATTCAGTGGATAGGACAGTAGCCACAAATAAAATCAAGTGGAGAAGTAATAATAGCAAAATGGGGACCTTGAGCTAAATTCCTAATGATTATACTCATAGAATTTTCTTGGCAGCATTATGGATTTGCCATTTCCTCCTCCTATCTAGCCGATCCTGGCTGTCTTTGGAAAAACTGAATTGGGTTTGGATTTGATAGGTAAGCTAGATCAGAAAGTAGGAAGAACATCTTGAACATTTTGGTGGTAAAACACCGCCATATTGTTGCCAAGAAAACCACATTGGACATGTCTGGAAAATCAGCAAAGAGTTGAGTGTTTTCTAAATCTGAGTGGGGGCAGGAGTTATTACATCCAAGTACCAGATACAATAGTGAGTGCTTTCCAAATTTTGCTAAGAACCTACTTGGCAGTGTGATCCAAAGGGAAAAATACTTCCTCAAGAGTTGGTCTGTGGACCATGGAGCGAAGCAGGCTGGGAACTATGGACAGAAGGACAGAAAAGAGGGGGAGACACATGCATCCTCCCCCTCCTCAGTTCTAGCAGACTCTAAAACTCTGGCCCAATGTCTATCCCACAACATTCATTTACCTTCTGCCATAATAGAAATATGCATCTCATATCTCTTGCTCTCTCCTCTGTAAAATACTCTACTTCTA